ACTTGAGGAGCTATTGAAAAAACACAAAAAGAGAGAGAGGTGGAGAGTCAGAAAGATTAAATGATCTTTTGTCACAATTTTCCTTTAAAATACCTTTCTTTCCTTTGTTTTTCCCCATCTCCTTGAAGTCTCATTTAGATTTATGCAACACGTGACTCAAAAGTACCAATAGTGAACGAAAATATGCGGAGAGACAGCAATGTTAGGTTAAATAATTTACTGACGTAAACGGAATAGTATACGCCCACTAAAGACAAAAAGAGGCATTTTCACTGTTGATTTTGGCTTTTAAAAAGTCTTCAGAGTCTGCAATAGCTATTTCATTCAGAAAGAGAAAAACGAGAAAGAAATTGCTCCATTCAAAGTAAGAGATTGACGATATACTTTACCAAATCACCAAGGGGTTAATATTACCCAACTATGAAAGGGTTAATTTTAGGTCGCCATTTTAAAATGGCGGCCATCACCAATCTCCACTTGTATAAGCATCATTATCTTTTAAACAATTTTTTCCTAGGTAAAGAGTTGCCATGGAAGCCACAGAAACTCAAGCAGACCATGGGATACAAGTCACCTCTCCTGAAGAACCTGTTGTCATGGTAACATCAAGTGAAGCCCCGCCCATCTCACTCACCGCGGTATCCACAGAGGTTCAGACGTCTCCGCCCGTGACGACCATAAGTGCATCGGCACTCGTAGAGATATTAAACTCTGTGGCAACAGCAATTGTACCAGGAGATGGAGGGGCAGGAGCGAACCTACAACTCCAGTTCCAATTAACGCCCGCCACTAATATCGAGGTAGTTGGTTGCATGCAAGAAATCTCTGATCAAGCGTCTGGAGGAGGGAGGGTTGAAGGGCAGATAAAAGGGAAAGGTCAAAGTTCAAAGAAACAGACTGGAGGGAGGGGCAATCATGGGAAGCTTAAAGACAAGCAGCCATGGCATTATCACTTAGGTACCACACAATCATAGAATTAGAAATTATACGAAAATGCACGACTCTAGCAAGTTAACAATGATTATTACACTGATATACATGTACATGTTAATATTTTTAATTGATGCTTGAGTGAACTCAAGCATGCTTCAAAAGGTCAGATTACTCACACTTTTAATCCAAAATTGAGAGTATACTCCGAGTGCCTAATGCATCATATAATTGTAAAACCACTTTTTCTCTGTGACAGGTGGTGTGAGACACTGTAGGGTTCCGCTATCTCCGGAGATAAAAGAAGCCTTAGAAGTAGCTTATGTGAGCAGAATAATGTCAAAGAACTTTCGTAAAGAAGGACAGCCGGAGAAAGAGAGAATAGCACAACTGACTGGGCTGGAACTGGATAAAGTGAGACAATGGTTTAAGTGTAGTTTGGAGGGTAAAATTCTCTAAATTTTCGATAATTGGTGGGTTTTGTTTTGCAAATTTGTGTAAATGTACATCAGGACATAGTGAGATCTAAAGCCTTCAGTGTTTTGCATTCTTCTAGTGCAATAACTCTTATCCTTTAGGTACAAGAATGGTTTAAGAATCGTCGTAAAAAGGACAAGCTCGTCCAGTCTCGGGTCAATAGTCATGGGACACCTAAAGGAAAACGAGGCCGGAAATTACTCCTCCCTCACTCTGTGACTCGCTCTCTCAAAAATACACCACCCAATGCAACATCAGGCTCTCTTCTTAGCCAGTACAATCAAGTATGTACTTTTTATAAATTTTGGCAATTCTTGTCACTATTATAGTGACGTGTCATTTTGCAATTTTTCATTGTAGGTTGATAAAGAAGACTGACCCCAAGGACTGCATTATTATTATGTTCAACAAACTTTTCTAAAGTTGCACGCCATGCATATTCTCACGTCCATTTTTAATCATTGGTTGAGGGCGGAGTCTAGCAAATTAGGCCCCTCCCCTTTTCTTCACTTAAAGGATTACAATTATAATAAATTGCAACAATTTATTTTGAAATGAAAACGAGTCACAGATGAATAAACACTTCATAGATATAAACATCTGTCCGCTTAATCTAGCCTATCATTCAAGAAAAGAAAAGAATTAAAAAACAACTACATTTGATTGCTTTCGTACCCTTTACATATTCCATCTTTGAGACACAAGCGATTCAAAGCATCGTCACTTTCACCCTAATTCAAAAAAAAATTCAAATTATTGCTAGGCGTTAAAATCCTTTTTGTCTACATTTTGTAATTTTTAACATTCTGCTATGGTCTTCATACTATAAAATGGGGAAATAATTTTTGTTGACCAAAACCAGGCAAAATTTGATGCTATGCAATATTTAACCCCAAAGACACACCCACTAATTACGTAACTCACCATTCCTCTTAAAAATCCACACAGTGCATACGGCTTGTTT